AGCCTAAGAGGAAGACCACCAATTTGATAAAAATAATATTTTGGGGTTGGTGTAATAGGTTATTCTATTACAGATTGGTGTTTTCCTAATTTTTCAATATTAGTGTGAACACTATAATATCATTATAATATTAATGTGACCACTGTAAATATTAACAATGAAACATTTTTAATGAATGTTCTTTGAGCAGCAGCCAAATGAAACAGCCATACTGGATATGCTGAATTCAGTTAGTTAATTGAAATATGAGGGATTTCTTTCTTTATTCTACGTTAAAAAGTGCTTATTGCCTTAGCCAGCTAGTTGCTATTACCAATATTAAAAACTACATAAATTATAGAAAGCTATCCACAGAGGCTAGCATAAAAATTACTACCCCTGCTGAGGACAAAATGATGTCTTTGGTTGAATTGCCAGATATGAAGTAACAGCAAGAGATAAATTATTTTCTGGGCCATTATTAAAGGATTAAAGGTGGATCCCAAATCTCTGTTGACCAGATTCATTTTCTTCTGTATGGTTGGTTTGTCTCTGCTCTGTTTTGAGTTATTATAGGTGAAATTGCTGCATGGTTAAATAAAGTTAAGAGTTGCGAAGAAAACATCTTACTGTTTTTATTTGTTGCTTTGGTTTTATATAGCATTGTCAGAGTCAGCTTTGACATATTTCACAGATAATCAACATTTTAAATTGCTTCATGTCTAAACAGATCTAAAAATCCTTCAAAAGCAGATTTAAAGGTGGAGTCCAAATTCATTTATAATCACTAACATTTTTAGAACTTAAAGTCTAAGTCTTCAGAATTGCTCCTTCCTGTGTGAGCATAGGAGGATTGGTAACACAGAAAAAGTTTTTATCATATAGTTTTGCCCTTAGATATAAGATTCAATTTCTCTCCTGTCTAAGAAACAATATCTCAAAAGAAAGGCAAAAGGATAACCTTTTAAGAGAATGTGAGAGCATCTCTCTGCTGGACCATTTGACTTGGCCCATGATGGAATTGTATCATAGAAAAATTGAGTGGCTTCAGATGTTATGAAACTGGGTCATCTCCCGCCATCGTGATTGATCAGAAACTACACCAAAATCAGTGGGAGTGGGAAAAATCCATGGAAATAATGCAGAGTTTAGATATGTTTTATTGGTGGTTGATTCAAGGGTAGTTTAAATAGATTTTCTTTAGTTATTCTTTGGTATGAATACAGAAGAAATTTAGTTTATTTTCTAGGCAAAGAATAAAAGTGATGAATTGAGCACATGTGGTAAATTTTTTCCCCTTTGTATTCATTTCCTAGGTTTAAAATGTATAGGGAAAATATAGATAATTTATAGAAAAATTTTAAAATCGCATTTATTTCTACTACCCTGTGATTCATTTATTCTTTAGTATGTCCTATGTGCCAGACATTGTTCTAGGAACTGAGGTTATACCAGTAAATTCAACAGACATTCCTACCCTCATGGAGCTGACAGTCCTATAGGGGAAGATAGGCAATTTTTAAAATGTAAATAATGTAATGTATTGAAAGGTGATAATAACTGTGGAGAAAAATAAAGTGAGGTCTTCACATTCTACACAATTTCAGGAAGTATCATTCATATTCTATTTTATGAGACTCCCATTCCCTGGGACTGTGCAACATGGCTCTGCGAAGGGAGTTTGGAGACCTTTGGCAAGACTAGAAGGAGGAGAGGGTGTGTTGAGTGGGTGGCTGGATTTCTTGAGAAGGTTACGTTAAAGGCTTGAAGATGGTGCTAACTAAGGGAAGAATTCTAGGCAGCAAGAAGAGCCGTGCAAACGGAAGAGCGTGTTTGTCAAATCCAAGGACCAAAAAGGAGGTTAGTGTGGTTGGACAAGGGTCAGTACCAGAACAGTAGCAGAACATAATGTTGACAGGTTAATAGAGAGGCTTATGAAATGAGTGTGATGTACAGTCACCGGAACGTTCCAAGCAGAGAAATCTGACTTACGTCTTTGAAAGGCCACCCTCACTGCTGTGTAAACAACAGACAATGGGGCACACAGTGGGCAAGAAGGGAAGCCAGCAGACCTATTAGGATGCTAATGCAGCAATGTGAGAAAAAAATGATGATGTTTCAGGCTAGAGTGATACCAGTGGTAGGCAGTCTTTGGATTCTAGATGTATCCTGAATAAAAGGCTGATTACATTTCTTCTCACCTGACATATGAAATAGTAAGAATAAAAAAAACTTCAAGGTTTTGATACTGTTGTCATGATGGAGTGCAGCTGGTCCTCTATATCAGTGGACTCCGTGTCTGTGGACTCAACCAGTCGCGGATTGAAAATATTTGGGAGGAAAAAATGGGTGGCTGCATCTGTGCTATAAAGGTACAGACACTTTTTTGTCTTGTAGTGATTCTCTAAACAATAAAGTGTTCCAAATTTACATAGCATTTACGTTGCATTAGACATTGTAAGTAATCTAGAGATGACTTCACATATGCGGGAAGATGTGCATAGGTCATATGCCGTTACTACACTATTAAGGGACTTCAGCATCCACAGATACAGGTAGTGCTCGACTTACGACCACAATTGGGACCGGCAGACTGGTTGTAACACGATTTGGTCGTAAGTTGAGCAGGCTATATGTACAGTTGAAATGATGCACGCGGAGATGGTAGTGCTGCTGGAAGCTGGTCCGCACTGTCGTACGCCCAGCTGGGCAACGTTTGTGCTGCCAGAAGCGGAGCAGTCGTGGCTAGCAATTATGGTCGTAAAGTCGAATGGTCGTAAGTTGCATAGGTCGTAAGTCGATCAATACCTGTACTGGTATCTCAAAGGGTTCTGGGACCAATCACCCATGGATACTGAGTGGCAACTGTATATCTATGCCATAATTTTGTATGAATTTTTGTGTGTTTAGGTGTATAAAATATTTGGAGGTTGTAATCCTAAATCACCTATTCGTTTACACATTTTTTTTTACTTAATGTAACACATATCATGACAAAAGGATCTCTTACACCCTCAGATGTTAATTGAGAATGTGATATTTAAAACAAAAGTTAGATAGCATTTCACAAATCAAACTTATTACCCAATACTCAGAATTGAGAATTAAAACGGGTTCTGTCAGAGGTTGAAAGGCGGCTTGCAGAACTCTTTTTCAGAAAAGAAATCTGTTTGGTTTGCTGTGCTTTTATCTTACCACTTCAGGGCTCCTTAACTTGAGAAATTTGCCAAAGAGTTTATCCTCTGAGTTTGGTGAGGAAACCAAGAGTTAGGTGACTAGAGTCCTTCTCTTTGGCAGGTAAGAATGACCTCGTTCTAAGATGATCCCCGTCTATGCTGACTGGGCTCGTCTCACCTAGCACAGGACTGGGCAGGCTGGTCTTCACGGTCCCTATCTCACAGTCTTCCCAAGAATACTAGTGGGGTCCAAATATTCACCTACCACCAATGCCTGCACACAGACAGTGGATGTTACTAGGTTCTACAGGGATCTCTTTCATTTATGTCGCACATAGGCTGTTCCCTCACCTGCCTATCACTGTAGTCTGGCTGTCTGCCTTTCAGTCTTGCACATAGACTTTTCCATGTTTTTCTGCAGGCAATTATGTCATATTGCTATTTTGCCTGGAAGTCTCTGAAACGTTTTGCGCACGTGTGGCTTAAGCACCACATCAAAAGGAAATTCCAAGACAGACTAAATTTATTTCTTAAATCACTATTGACTAATTACGTTACTTTATCTCTTTATGGTTTTGACATATGTTCTTAGGAATACTTCTGGCACACAAAATAAATTTGAATTAAATTAAAACACATTTTCTAATTAGAGAGTATTTTAAGTTGTAGGATGTGTCTCAGCCACTACTCTAACTTGGGATTTGCCTTTTATTTCTTATTAGAATGCTAGATGCTGTTCAGCTTGCAGCATATACAGCTCCTCCTATAAATGAGCACCTTGCTTAGAGGAAAGTAGATGAAACAAGACAAATAGTGACTTACTTGGGCTTCCTGTGGGCGTCACTGATTATCATAGAGAAAGATGCCTACACAGAATTAGGTACCTCTTGAATTTTTGTTGTGCTCTGTGTTAAGGAAGAGAAAGATTATCTAAGTTTTCGATGGCCTGTAGTTACTCATCAATTCATTCTATATATATTTATGACATGCTTGTATGTGTCAGGCGCTATACTATGCTCAGAGGGACAGATTATGAACAAATACAACTACTTGTCTCATGGAATTTATTAACTACTTACAAGAAGTACAATAAATAAATGCATACCATGCCAGGCGGTTGGAAGGGCCATAAGCATATGTAAACTGGGGTAATAGGACAAAGAATGAAGTCAAGTTGTTATGTTACATAAGATGGTCAGGAAAAACCTCTTTAATACAGTGTCATGTGAGCAGAAACTCATAGAGAGGGAAGAATTAAGTCACATGGTTATATGAAGAAAGCTCGGTGTGGGCATAGGGAAGTAAAGTACAATGCTGGCAATGCTGGCCTCTTAGAGGAACTGCGGAGAGGCCAGTGTGGCCATAACAGAGGGTGCAGAGTATCCTGGTAGGAGATAAAGTGAGGAGGTTGCAGGAGCACACTGGGCTTTGAATCCTTTCTTGCCTGCCATATCCCGATTACTGCTTTTTCCTATGAATCTTGAAGATGTTTATATCTTCTAGAGCTTTCCTTTCAAAAATTTGCAGACATTTAAAGGGTGCAAGTGCAGTTTTGTTACATGGATATACTGTATAGTGATAAAGTCTGGACTATTACCCAAAAATAATGCATATTGCGCTCCTTAAGTAATTCCTCACCGTTCACACCCATCCTACCCTCTCACCCTTCTGAGAAATACCTCCAAGAAGAGACAAGACCGTAAGCTCATTATCACTGTAATGCTAATTTTCACGTAGTTTCTTGGAGATTTACAGATGACCAGCAAAAATTTGATTCAGAAAGGTTTATTGGTGATGATTTAAGGTGAGAAGGATAACAAGGAAAAAATGTGATAAAATAGATGGGAGAGCAACAAGACAAAGTTTATTTGGCATTGGAGACTATTGCGTTTTACCTACCCAGTCATTTCTGTTTAATTCTCCCTTTCTTTCCTGGAGGACTCCAATTTTTTAAATTTATAGTTCATGCCATTCTTCAGCCATATGCAGACATTTGCTCTGAGAAAATGATCTTTCTCCCAAGCTGAGGAGTGGTGAATCATGGGTAGTCTAATCCAATCATGATAATTCCATCTCCCTCATCAGTATATGACTTAAGAAATTCCATGTGACCAATTTTGTCAAGTGAAACATGAGTAGTAGCCTAGAGGAGAACCTTCTGGTAAAAGTATCCTACATTTTTAATAGATAGAGATGGAAAAGGTAGATACGTCCAGATGTGGGTGGGTTAGGATACCGTGGCTGAAACTGCTATAGCCATCTTGGGACCATCAGGGTGAGTATTAAACACTGAGGAAGATTGCCATGGTTAAGTGATTGGTCTTGGCACTCTCTGCTGAGAGATATTTGCCTCTTACTTCAGAAAGGAGTTCCAGCATCCACACCAGAAGAAGAGAAACATCAGGACTCCTAGAAAAGGATAAATAAGTTACTTGGAAGTTGCAGTCTCACTTGTGATAATAAGCATAAGGAATAATTTTTATATCTATCAACAGAATCATAGAATATCATTAAATACTACCTCCTCAAAAAATATTTCCAAAAGAAATGCTTATCATATGTTGTCAATAGAAAGAAGTACATGAAAATTTTATAAAATCTCAATAAAATAATGCTTTTATCTAGATCTCACACATGAAAGAGGGGAGAGAGAGAGAAAATGAGAAATATATATTCATATATTCATATGGGAAAATGCCAGAAGCAAATAGACTTAATATTAATAGCTATTACCTCTGGGTGGTAGGATCAAATGGGATTATATGTGTAAATGTTTTTGTTTATTTTCATATGATTTTGCATTTCAACATTTGATAGTAAAAAAGTAGAGCTTTTATAGTCAAGTGAAAGTTAACAGTTTTTCAAAAATCAAAGACAGATGATCTCAGGTGTCCTGCAGGCCTTCTCTTACACAATTTTTGAAGTCTGGGAGTCCTTTTCATGAAACGGAGCAAGGCCCTCAGTTCACCTTTGCCCCAGTCCAGCTCCTGAGTCGCATTCTAGCCTCAATTTGAATACTTCATAGAAGTTGGGCTGTCTAAACCACTGTGCCAAAGAGCTGGTGAGATTCACTGCAGTTCATCCATTCAGTGCCTTCCTCTGTCTCATGGGGCCAACAGGCTATCCCTTCAGTGAGTATGGACCCGTCAACGCAGGGGTGGCCTGGGTTCCTTAGGCTGCCCTAACTTTCCCAAACTGCGCAGACTTAAAATGGTGGACTGTGGACTTCCTAAGGCCCTTCTCTTAGGTTGTAATACGACCTACTGAAGATCTACACAAAACAAGGATGACAGTGACGAGTTTTACTGCATAAATATTTTTCTATCCGCAGGGCCAAGGCAGCACGAGGCTAAGCATGCAGACGACATTGCCAGGATTGCTGCATAGTACAAATTAGAATTCAAGTCAGCTTGAGTCACACAGGGGCTTGGGGCCTCTAAGCTAATGTATGGTGACCTGCAGAGGCTAAAATAAGGCAGAAATGAGACTTTTTCACTAGTTATAAGTCTTTAAGTATGATTGCTGGTCATTGGTAAAATATAACATTTAGAGCTAACATTTAATATTTCAGAATACACATCACAGCACAGTCTTATTCTTCCCATTTCCTGGCAATAAGCACAGCATATAATCTGTCAGACTATATGTAACCCACTCTTGGCGTATTGTTTATCTGCTTCATGATAGGAAAGAAAATGAAATAGTGGCCAAGCAGGCATACTATGTGTTTTTAATGGGGACAGTCTGCTAGTGTGACTATCAGCATAGTAAAGTCCCAAGCTGTCAGTCTAGGTTACTCTAAAATCAATGTCTGAGGAAAAGACTCGGTTGGGTACAGATAGTTTGCTTGGGATGTGATGTCCTGAAGCAGGAGAGAATGAGTGGGGATGGTGGAAGAAGGACAATCCAGTATAACGGCATATTATCAAGTCACTGCTAAAAGGTTTGCAGCAAGAACCAAATGCAACAGAAACGTAAAGTTGGTCAGTAGGGTTCAGTGTCACTGAAACTTCCCGAAAAGGTGCAAAGGACTCCCAGAGTTGTCTGCCTGCAGGCTGGGAACCAGGAGCATTTACCTACCAGCCCCTGTCCTACACTATTTGGTGCTGCATTGGTGCAATTGCCCTCTATTTTCAGGCTACAGTCACCCAGATAATCCAGCATCTCTGAAAACCAACTCTGGGAAAAAGTCCTGGGGCAGAAATAGAACACTGTGTGGCATTTGCTTGAGATGGGGGTGCTTTACACAAGGTGAGTCTATGCCTTCATGGAATGGTTCCCTAGAGCTAAGATGGCTGAGGGGATGTGACATGGGCTACTAGAGATCCTGGTGACTTGCAGCCCTTAGAAATGGCGTTTTGGGAATCAGAGCTTGGACAAATTGGATTTGGCCTATGTAGTCTGTATTTTAATACATTTATTGAATACCTATTAAGTCCTAGTGCTGCAGAAACAGAAATGGATAGGATCCCTTTTAAGATTCTAGTTTGGTACAGCAAATAAGGTCCTTTAAATTAAATGTGTGACCTACTGTAATGACGTATGCATAGGACGCCTAGTGAGATTTCATGCGGTTTTTATTCCAGACTGACAAAGACCCTCAGGAAGTAAAAGTTGGGACATACACACGTAGTACATGTATATAGATGTATATATGTATGTTATATGCGTGTGTGTATACAACTGGTTAATGTGTATACATGGCAGAGTAATGGTTGCCTGCATCACGTAAATTATTTATCCTTATCCAAATTCAAAACTAGAGGCATTTTAAGGTTTATGGAGTACAAAGGATCACACTATAGAATGGCTTTAGTGAAAGTGTATTTTTCTCCCAATTCGTATTTGTGCTTTGGGTACTTTTATATTTCTTGTTTTCTGGTACCTATATTCACTGCAAAAATAAAAAGCATCCACGAAGCTTATTCCTAGGGCACAATTTGTATTCTGCAGAAGAAAACCTTTGCACCTGCCACTAACATGCATCCACTTCTGGGGTGGAATGCACCAGCTGTTCCCCATCTCCAACGGCACGCCAGGCAGTTCAGCACCAAGAATGAGGCATCATATCCCAGGCCGATGAAACTGGTGAGGAAATTTCAAGTCGACAGAATGCAATTACCCAAATTGAAATTAGGCCAGGGGCATATCAGGAGGCCCTTCCCATCTGTTGGGGAAAAGGATCACCAGATATTTACTGAGGCCAAGTGGTCAGAATGTTAGCTTTAGGAATCATTTAAAAGGTAGAAAATTTAAAATATATCAAAGGAAAACTGCACCTGGTATAAAAATCGTATCCCTTCTCTGAAAAATAAATAATATTAGTGCCTTGAGAAGCTCAGCCCTTTCCTGCTCTGGAAGAAAAGAAATGTTTATGGATAGGGAGGTTAAATATTTCTACATCAGCTACTCTTAGCAAGGACATGCTATAATGGACAATTGGTTATACCGGAACTGACAAAAAGAGATTTCCCAAACCAAACATATTGAATCCAATACATTTATCCCTGGTTATAATGGATAGACCCTTCCATTATGAGCTTATGAAGCAACACCATTCGATTTTTCTAGAGGCCTTGACATAAGCATTGTCTCTTTACCAGGAAAAGAAGCTAATTTTTAGAGTTTGCAGCAAAAATAAAGAAGCTGTTGTACGAGCTGTGACTAGTTCCTGTATGACAATTATACATCACAACCATAGACTCTGCAGGTCAATTTACTACAGGGATCTTCTGCCTGTAACCCCTGTCCTTGGTAACCTTTGTACCTTTTTCCCGGGAGGATGACTGCTGAGGGAATAGATGAATTTGTCTTAATCTTTGTACCATTGTAAACCCAAGCATTGGCATAAGGTCCACACAGCCCTTTAGAAATAAATGAAAAAAGCATCTCACACCAGGTCATGGTTTGGGGGAAATCCGTGTCCATCATATGGAGCAAATAAACTGGCCTCCTTTTATTGATTTCTCTCAAGAATCTGCCTTTTTTTTGGAACTGAGGACACAACATTTCCAGCCTGAGAGAGAAATAATGGAGGCACCTCTGGGGCAGACATCTCCTTTTCTAGCTGCTGCCTTTTGGAGATGTGGTGCCCTTAGGTTCTCATATGCCACACCCCAAAGTTGGTGCCAGGGAGTCTTCTCTGTACGGCCCCTGCAGGTGGCTATTTGATGGCACATTGCTAATCCTGAAAAACTCTCACATCTCTTTCCCATTGGATGTAGAGAGGAAGGAAATGAGTGAGTGGGTAATAAGTCTTATTCAGTATTAAAAGAAAAGCAAAATTTTGTTAGGGTGGTTCACTTTGCACTCTCTTTGCTGGCTGAGAGGCTGCATGTTGAGGAATACGAGAGAATGGTCCCAGCTGGGAGGAGTGAGACAAGTTTAACTGTTGAATTTAATGCAGCTGCCCACTATGAGAGGGAGGAAGGCACAGGCAGGCTGTCTGCAGGCTGGGTCTCTTACTGTCTCCCTCCCCCAGTAATGCCGCCCTTTACTCATCACTATGGCAATTAAGATCTTGAGTCGAGGACAGGCATGGTGGCTCATGCCTGTAATCTAGTGCTTTGGGAGGCTGAGGTGGGAGGATCGCCTGAGGCCAGGAGTTTGAGACCAGCCTGAACAACATAGTGAGACCTCATGTCTACAAAAAGTAAAAAAAAAATAAAAACAAAAATCAACCCAAGACAGCAGTCTCAAAGTCTCAGGGGCCTCACACTCACATTGGTTTCTCCACCACACAGTGCCAAACATTCCCAGAAAGTCTCCTACAATGAGCTCAGTACAACCTCTCCTGGCCATAAATGGATATCCTTCTGAACTCTTAAGAGGTACAAATATTTCATCCTACCTGCAAAATGCTAACCTGAACTTTGCCACATTTTTGCTAATTGGGCAGAACACATTTCTTAACATCTCTGTTTTTGATTCTTGTTTGTTGGTGAGTACCAAAGTACATCTCTCACAGAGGAAAACAGAGAACATATTAGTTAAGGTCGATCCAGAACGCACAAATGTTAAAACTTGGCATTGTTTAGAGGTGTAGCTTGTACTAATTACCTCTTAGTTTTACTAGCCCCATATAACAAGCTGCCTTCTGCATATTTTATGTGAAAGCTGATTTTCTGAAAGGCTGAGAGATGTAGGAGCAGGGAATGGAATAGGTGCTAGGTTTTATTTCGTGCTAAATAATTCTCCTCCAGGTGGGTTAACTTTTAGTAGTTAAATTGCTTACAATGAAGATTCTACACTAAAAGAACAAATCTCCAGTGATAATTATTTGTCTGTGTTTTTAGCATTTATGAGTCTCAGTAAACAGTACATTTATGTTTCCCCCATTACCTTTGGTCATAATCTTCCTTAAAGAAAAACGAATAATTATGTTTCCTGACTGCATAATGAACATAAAC